CCCAGAGAATCACAATGAAAAATAAATTGTTTTAAGCCACTAAATTTTGGGGTGGCTTGTTATGCAGCAATGTAACTAAAAAACACCATGATCACAGTAGTATCACCTTCCTAAATAACTTAAGTAACAATGACAGCTATCCTAAGGACTTTGGCCTCTTCAGCTTGTACTTCCACTGGATTCCTCAAAGAATACTTCTATAATGATTTCAAATTATTTCCTAACCAAGTAAAATGGTCTCAGGATAATTCTTTAAAATACATAATTTATGTACCATGTATTCCCTACAGGGCAACAAAACCCACATGCGATATTAATAAATATAGCTGTTTATTTACCAATACTGGACACCTACCAAACAGCAATTTCAGACCATAATAAATTACACCCTCCATTTTAATAGAGCACTGAAAATTTTGTTTCCCACCAGCTTTCAGGCAAAGCTCTAGCAGGCCAAGATAATTTGTAGAGAGCAGATTTATGGGGCCGAGGTCCTAACTAAAAATGCCAATCCTTTGGTCACTGCTACCACACTGCCACCTCCTGTCTCATGACTCTAGAAGCTTGAATCGGAGACAACAGTCGATAAAGGAAACTCAGCTAAGAATAGGCAAGCCTCTCCCCTTCCTCCCAGACCAAACCAACAACCAGAGCTACTGAATGGATAATTCATACCTTTCAAAAAGTAGTTACTGCTAGAAAAGTGGCTGTCTGAATGCGGTTAAAGACAATTAATTACAATGGAGTTGCTTCAAATTTATAGCAAGGAGGCTCACAGCTTCACTTTAATACAAAAATCTCAGACCTCTAATAACACATTAACTGCAGTGGTGTGTCCCACAGAAAGATTTCGAAGTATGGCAAAGATCATTTCCCTCTTGCTGACTGCTTGAGAGAAGTGTATGTGCAGGAGCAACTAAGTTAACACACTACAGAAAAGAAACACAAGTCAAGATCTTTACAGAGAAAACTCCACATCTCTGTAATTCCAAAAGATATTTTCAAGCCCTAGCTAGTAACTCATTTATTTTAAGCAGAATGGCAAACTCAGAACAAAATATGCCCCTTGTTAGTTTATTATAATGGTATTGGGCATGAACAGAGAATGTGAGTGATCACACAAATCAAAAGGAGAGGCAGAAACAGAAGCCAAGATTCTCAATTCCCACTGGCTCCAGGCACATGTCATGTTTCAGTAATGTCTTCCTCGTTACTGTGGAAAGCAACACAGAAGCTACTTATCAACATTTTTTTTTAATTCTGATCATGCCAAAGTAAGAAATCTTTTAAACTCTCTAAAACTGTATTGAGAAAATATAAAACCAAGAAAAATCTCACTGGCTACAATCACTTAAGCAGTCATGCATTACTGAGCTCTGCAAAGAAAACTGTGCTTATGATTCTTTACCAGCCATGAAAGTTCCCTAACATTCAGAACCTCAAGTCTATGCATGTGTGAAAATCTCCCTAATTCACAAGATCTACCTGTACCACACTGATAAGCACAGATAATCCTTCATACCTATGTTTAAATGTTCAACATTAAAAACAGCCTTTATTGTCCTAAGACAACAGGGTCATATGCCCTGGCTAATTGGTACACAGCTGGTCATGGCACCATCCTATTGTATACCCCACAGCTATTAAAATGCAGCACTAGCTTTTAAATAGCTATTAAAAGTAAAATACACTTAAAACCACAGTAACTTTTACACATGCTCTATCCGTACATGATAAACATATGATTCTAATATAGAAATACATTGTTCACTTAATTTTCTTCTTTTCTCCTTTATTCAAAGTTTCAGTTTCATATAATCCTAATCAATGGGAACAGCTAAATCATGAGAAAGCTTAAGTGATAAAAAACTTCCATGATTTAAAAAAGTAATGAGAAATGAACTAAAACCACCATCCTCTCAGTTCCCCAGTGTCAGCAACTTTCCCATTCCCTCTCCCATGCCCAATAGCCCACAACAGAACAAAAAAGGAAATCAGTACTGTTTACACAATCACATAGAGGAATATACCAAGTCCCACAAGATACCAGTGGCTCTTCCATCCAAACTCAGCTACACATCTTCCAAAGTCAAAACAATTTCTACACCCACCCTTACCCCAAAAGGGGGGAAATTTTAAGCATATACCTGGGAGAGAAGCCAACTCTTCATATGCTGTATCTGTTACATTTGGAACAGAAAGTGCAACATGTCACAGATATTGGATGCAATCTCCTCTTCATTCTGGACACAGGGGACCTCAAGCTCTGTGAAGTACTGCTATTATAATCTTCCCCAACTCAGGGGTATCTGAATGCAGAAAAGCAACATTCCTTCCACATTCCCTTGAAAGTTCAGTAATCAGGAACTAAGCTTGATCTGAACCAAACTCTACAATGCCCCTTCCTGAAAGGGTCCCCAACCAGCTCTGCTACCAGACTCGGGCCAGCCTGCTCCTCTGCTTAGCTGCAGCAAGCCCATTCATCCATCTCAGAGTGCTGCCATAAGCAATCTTCAGCACCGGGCTACCAACATGCCTTGCACAGCAGGTATAAAGGTCATTGCTGCACGTGTGGGTGAGCATACCACAGAGGCCCACATGGTGATGGAACGCAGTGACTGCTAAACACAAAGAACTCCACCCAGAAGTCCAGCAGTCTCACCTGGTAAGGACTAGACTGCAGAATTAAACTGTCACCAGTAACCACCTCCTGACCTTCCTGTACATGCCTAGGTATGTGGATCACCCAGGTGCCTTCTCTGCCCTCTCCCAAAACACATTAATGGAACAGTTCAGATGAGGAAAACTGAATCACAGCTCCAATGTTCAACTGAAACAAAATCATAATACAGCTTTCCAGAAAATTTCCCTGGGCAGCGAAAAAAAACTCTAGTTTTTAGCTACTTCAATACTAACAAAGGACTTATGTGACTGTTCTCTAAATCAGTGACAAGTTGTCTCCAAATGTACTCACTTGTTGTTGCTGGTAAGATATTCTCATTTAAAATGCCCAGAATTTTAATGCTAGCGAAAATCAGCTAGGGAATGTAATCTACATTATTAACAAACTGAAGCAGCTTCCACTGATAAATACTTGCTGCCACTCTTAACATTTTACCTTATGTACTGTCCTAAAGAGGAGCTCCTGTTTGTTACAAAGCAGCAAGTATGTTTTTAGGTTAGGCAAAAGCCTTAAAGAATGTAACAGGCAGTCAGTTGCCAGATGTTTTTAATTTAATTCTCTACACATGGGGAGAAATTCACACAGGTTGAAAAGGAAACGTCAGGAGAATAAGGCAAAAAAATCTGCATTTAACATGCTGGTCAATGAACTGTACCTGAAAACGGCAGGACATCTACTGTTTAAATTTAGAAACTTTCAAATGCTAAAATCTCCAGTCTTTAAATTTAGCAACTTTCAAATGCTAAGCAAATGGTTTTGTTGAGATTTTATTTTTTAACATTTGAAGAAAATTAAGATACACTGGCTAAACACGTAACCAATTATAAATCTGCAGAATAGGTTTAGATTTTTCCCCCTTTAGGTGAACATTTCAGATTATGCCTTTAAACTTCTTTTTAAGATACTGGCTCTCCCTTAAAAGTTTTCCTATTAAACAGAGATCAATTTATATACTTTCAGTACACATTCTATTACTTTAGAATCTTTTTTTAAAAAAAGAACTCCTCTATGGAATGAAATACCTTGACCCCTACACAAAAACTCCCACTAGAACTAGATTTATCTGATCATGGAAATCCCTAACTATCCTAATGAAAATTAAGTACATGAATGGGAAATTCACATAAACTCAACTCACTTAAACAAAAACAACATTGTGAAAATGCTCTACCTGGAGAAGAGTGCATCTAGAAACAGACACGATGACATGTGGGGTAGCCATCACTCTGCACAACACCAGAGAAATGCACAGTAAACCGCTCCTGCCCTCCAGCACTCTTCACGGTATCTAACCGCGCACACACCACAGCCCTAGTTTAAATCAATTTCCAACTTACTGCTAGGCCCAGGTTGGGAGAAGGGGGAGAGAAGGCAGAGAGGCAGAAACCCTAACCTCACCTTGCAAAAATCCAGAAAGGCATAGGCCAACCCCAGCAACCACTGGGAGGAAGCAATGCCTTTCCAGTTAGTTACAGACCAGGGTCTGGCCTGCTCTTGAAAAAGGAGCCATTTCTCCAAAACACTCCACAGGTTAAAACAGTCTCCAAATTCTGTCAAGTGGCACACTACACATACTCTCAGAAAAGTGCAATCCTCTTAAGCAGCACACAATTTCGGTCTTCACGATCTCTTGATGGTTACTTATAAGCAAAAATATTGGCTGGGAGGAGGGGAGAAGACAAAGGCTGGTTTGCAGAAACCTGTGTTACTTGGGAGTGACTGAAAGGCGCTTCTGGGCAGGAGAAGCTCGGCGTTCATTCACGTGGCCCAATCCCGGCTGGCGATCTAACAGGATAAAGGCAAATTCCTCTTCTCTCAGACACGTGGACTGTCTCCTAGACTCACCGCCGCCAACTCAGGACGGACGATAGGCACGCCACACCCGCGCGAGCCTGCAGCTGCTTTCGCCTATCCTGTGCTTGGAGATTTGGCGGGGTGGGGGCTGGGGGTCACCCTTGGCTTCCTAATTACTACATATTCCCAAAAGTGCCCTTTGAGACTGATTTCCTGTTGGAGCAACTTGACCTACTCTGCCGGAGAACACAGCTGTGACAGCTTCCTTAAGAGACTTTTATACCAAGAACAATAAATTCAGCGACGGGCCACAGACAAGCCCTTTTATTTCTTCGCAGCGTAACCCACCACACACTCACACCTGCCATAAACTTAAATGCAAGAGAAAAAAACGAAAAAACACCAGGCCATACAGCAACTCAATAAGCCTAAGAGGAAAATAAGTTGTTTTCAGCTGTGTTGAGTCCTTCCTCCAAATAATGGATGAGAACAGAATCGATAAGAACGTAATAAATAAGCTCACCTTTGCCTTTTGGGGACCGAGTGTTCAATTTCTACGAGTTTCCCGTGCAGTTCCACTTTACCTGCGGACACACAAGAGGTGAAAACAGTTGGTCGAGCTTAGCTGTTCTCCGGGACCAAAGGACCCGCACTGGCTAAGCGTAGACACAGTGATATCCTGAGACCCAGAATGGCACCCGGACGCGGCTAAAGGCGAAGAGAAGAGGGGCCCCGCGAGGTTGGGAAGCTGACCGGCTCCCGGCTGAGTGTAAATTTCAGACTGGTAGGGAGGTGGATCAATTGGCGGTCCCGCTACTCGGTAACACTTTACCCCAGGGCTCCCCCGTCCATCTCTGGAGGTCAGCGAACCCCACGACAGCCGCAGGAAGGACGGGGGCCCCTCCACCGAGGTCCGTGGACCCTCCCATACGACAAGCTCGGGAAGAGAGGGCTACGATGGCTTTCTTCCGGAGAGAGCCCCCAGGCCCTTCTCGCGTGTTCAAGCCCAGGCCCGCCGGGAACCAGGTGTGGCGGGAAAGGCTTGAGACGGCAGGTAGGCGCAGAAAGAGGGTACGCTCAGAGGTGATTCTCGGCACGGAATGAACCACGCGCGAAAGGCGGCGCGGCGCCTGCCACACGAAAGGCCCCGTGCCTTCCCTTGGGCGTCCCACCCCAGTCCCCAGCCCTCGCCGAGCGCGCCCAGACGCCCCCGGAGGCCGGGGCCCTAGCCCAGAAAGCGGGGACTCTTTTCCTGGCTACTCCCGGCAGCCCCGGGTCACCTGCACCTCTTGCTGGTGGGAAGCGGGGAAGGTTGAACGTGGAACCCAGGTTGCAGGAAGCAGAATTGAGAGGACGCGCGGAGCTGCCGGTGCTAGGCACCAAGCCCCGGGGCCTCACTCCGCACCAGGGTCGAGGCCACTTTGCGTTCTCCCACGGCTGAGATCTACAGCGGCACAGGAGGCAGCGAATCCAACGCCATAAATAACACGCAGACAGGGGAAAGGTGGAGCGAGAATCAGCGTTCGCGCCCGGCCCCCAAGGCCCGGCGTGCCCGAGCCTGGAGCACGCGCCTGGGCCCGGGCGGGCGCCCAGGGGCCGGCGCAGGCAGTCGCGCCTCCCCTACCCCGCTCCCAGCTTCTACAGGGTTCCCCGCTGCCCTCGGAGCCCAAGCCCAGGCTTTCTTGACAGCGCGTCCGCCCTCAACCCGCAGACGCCCGGCGAGGGTAGAGAGCAGTGGGGGACCGGGTCCCGGCCCAAGCTAAGAAAAGAAAACGGCCCCCACGCGTGTGCGCGCCCGGGCCTCAGCCTCTTTCCCCGCCCGCCCTAGGCCGGGCCTAGGGCCCAATGTGGGCACCCCGGCGGCAGCCGCGGGCCTGGCTCCAGGCCCCCGACCTCGGCAGGCCCAGGCGGGAGGCGCGGGGCTGGAGCAGGCGCCCTGGCAGGGCCTGGCCGGGGCCCACCTGAAAGCGCCTCGATGGCCTTGAGGGCCCAGCTCTCGTCCGGACAGTCCACGAACGCGTAGCCAGTCTTCACCAGAAAGGGTCCCGACACTGGGATCTTGGCGTCCTTGAAGATACTTTCCAGGTCCGAGGGGACAGCGTTCTCGCTGAGGTTTCCAATATACAGTTTGTTCATTGTGAAGAGTGGTTGTTTAAAAAAAATTTTTTGAGAGAAACTAAAAATTAAAACCACCCCAGTATCGGATGGATCCGGAGGGTTTAGTTCCCTCTTCTCGCCGTTAAAACACACAAACACAGTAAGAACCAAAGGCAAGAACGAGGAGCGAAAAATCAGATCCGAAGGGTTTTTTTTCCCTTTCCTATTAAAAAAAAAAAAAGAAAGAAAAAGCCCTGCTACAACCCAAACGCATCAACGAGTCTTCTTAACTCTGAGGAGGAGGCGGGATTAGCGAGAAAAAGGAAAGATGGGGGGGAGAACTACTTTTTGTCTCTTCCTCCCCAACCCCGCCGGCATCGGCCAGCGGACTGTGAAAATATCACACTACGTGAGGCCAGGCACCGCCTCCCCATAAAAACCCCAGAAGAGGGTGGGGAAAAGGGGTGGAGGGACGAAGGAGCAGGAGGCGGAAAAAATCTGCTCCGAGTGTCCGGCTTTTTGAATGAGCCACGTGTTCAAACTACAAATCAACGTCTCACGTGAGGAATCCCGGCTCCTCAATTAGGGTTTGGGGGGGAGAAGAAAAGAGCGAGCGAGAGGAGGAAGAGGGGGAGGGGCCCTGAGGTTGGGCTGGGGACCCTGAGAGGGGGAGGCGTGGAGTGGGGAATGCTGAAGACGCCGCAGCCGGGGCGCAGCTCGGGGAGCCGACTGTCACTAGAGTTTAGAAAGGGTTATCTGGTCGGGGCGGAACCTGAGCGGGAGGGAGGGAGAAGAGAGGAATTTATTTTTTTAAGGAGATGGGGTGGGGGTGCTAACTTGGCTTTTCTCAGCTCTAGTTACCGGAGTTTTAAATTTTCGATTTTTTAAAATAGATAATTAACAAAACCAAAGAGCCACAATTCCGAATTCTCCTAGTAGCTTAGATGACATTAGAAGTATCCTCAGCAAAGCCGCAAGCACGTTTCCAGGTTGGGCAGGGACGGAAACGCAGTGAGGGGAGGGGGGTAGAGTGGGTGGGGGCGGGAGCGGCGAGCAGTGCCCCACCCGGTGCGCCCTCCGCGGGACTGGGCACCGGGGAGGTGGGGCGGCCCGAGCCAGGCGGTGGGGGATGGGAGCCCGCGGCGTCCTGGGCGGGTGTCTGGGCGACACCTCCTCCGCCTGCGCTCGCGATGGCTCTCGGCTTCGCATTGCGATTGGTTGTGAGACTCAGAAAAGGCTCCGAGATAAATGAGGCCGGGGGCGGGCTTGGCTGCCGGTGGAGGAGGGGAGCCCGGGACCCGAGGGTTCTGGCTTGGGGCTGGGGGCGTCCTGGGCCTCGGAAGCCAGAGAAGGGAAGTCAGAGTGGGGAAAGTCGGTACTTAAGCGGAAACCATTTCTTCCTGTAGTTTCCAGAGGAGGAGTGGGGTAGGCTGGTACTTTTATTTAAAGAATTTTAGTTGGAGAACTTGGGACTCTTAAAACAGGAAGACCGCTGTGCATTACCCCTAGATGGTATTCGCACTGGAAAAACTGTTCGAGTCTTTTCTGCCTCTTTTCTGCCCGCGGTCGCCCATAAGAACCATTCATAATTCCCCCTGCATGTGAGGAGTACAATGGTGGTTGTGTGGGGGAGGGTCTGGGCCCGGTAGAGTCTTCCTGGGCCAACAAAAAGAGGACTGGAGACGGAGGAATACGGAAATGAACACAGGCTGGAGTTCTTCTGGATGTCTCCGAGTGTCGTTTAATTGTGTACTACACTCAAAAGCTTCATTTTGCATCAGATACTTGTACATTTTTAACAAGAATCCTATAGGAAAGATAGAGTGCTTATTTTTTTAAGTGAATGAAATTCTGTAAAGCAGGTAAATATAAACAAGAATCGTTTATGACTTGGTACCCTTACTACGAGAAAAATGTGTAATAGAATATGATATACACTGAAACAGCTTCAGTAATTACAATTCAGTTCGTTTTCCTTTGTCAAGCCCGTTTGTAGCACTTCAAAGTGTGTATTTTCTAATTAAAAGATGAATGTTAGATTGTTTTTAAAACCTGTGGGAATTATTGCATAATATAAAGAGTATTTACATTTTTTTCTTTTAAAAGGGAACTTTTGTCATTTTGCGTTAAGGGGCCGGAAGGTGTCAGATCATCCATTTTAAATCCAACTTATTTCTAACAGGTTTTTCTTTTCTGCCAAGCAAAGCCAAATTTTTTGTGAACTCACTTTTACAATATTTTCATTCACACGTAATTTAGTGAAATGTTTTTACTTTATAAGGTAGAGGGGACAAACGTTCTTGTATAATGTTTAGAATTGTATTATGAGATCTCTCTTTGAAGGAACATTATTACAGTGTTGAAATTTTAAGTTTATGGGTAGGATTAACTTTTAAAAAGAGCTTATTTTTCCTTTTCATGTTTTTTGAAAGAGAACCTTGGTCCTAAAAAAGAAAATACGTACTCTTCCTTTATAACTCTGTGATATTCAAAATGTAAATATCAGCTATTCATGAAATTTGTTTTTCATGTACCTGTTGCATGTGATCAAAAGCTAGTTAGAATAATATGCTTTTCATTCATTTAGTAATATTTGATTTTCTAAATACCTCTTTAAATTTTATAAACTAGTCTTGATCATTTAACTTTTTTAGTAATTTTTCATAAAAACAAATTTTGTATGTGCAGCTTGCTTCCGAACTGAATTGAATGGTGCCTTTTGGCTCACTGACTGTATTTGCTGTTACTAAAACAGACCTAAGGAGATATGTACTTCAAAAACAACGGGACAAATTGTTTATTTTCCATAAATACTAGCCCTGCTTGTCTGTCACTATCAAACAAATCTAACAGTTGGAATTTAAAACAAGTGTGTGTTGTTTTGATGAAATATGTTCCTGGGACTCGTGAACTTAATCTGTGTATTATTGTAACAAACTGGATACTCTGTCTAGGACCTTAAAAACATGCACGATTTATATAAGCTGAGTTCAAAAGGGGAGGTGGATACACCACTCCATTTCGAATCTTACAAGTATTTGCGGTAAAAGTATATACTGGATGGCTGAGAAAAAAGAGCGTTGGTATTGTTTTTTACTGGCATTTCAAGTGCAAAAATACCTATGGTGGATTCTCAAGAATGAACATTAAGGTCAGTCTAACTTACAGTCTTTTGATGAGTCTCACACAAGAAATTAACCGGGTATATGGGCCAAGTTCTTCCTGAAGCAATTGGCAGCTCATAATATGAACTCCACGAAGGACTCCCACCCATTGTGTGTGCTCTGGTGCTGCTGAGTTCTTACCCACTGCAGCCAGTTTAGTCTTTGGACAGCTGAATATCCTTACCTGCTGACCTGAGGGCAATAAAAATGTTTCTTAAGGGTCAGTGTAATTATTAAAGGAGAAAAACTATGTTTAGACGGTCGGTTACCATTGCTGTGTCCACAGGTTATGAGCGAAGGCTTGGACAGGTAGAGGGGGAAGGGGCATTCTTGTTGCTACCCCTCCGAACTCCGGCTGCCTCTGAGACTCGCCGAGAGCCTTAAGTCCTTGACATGGGTGAGCACAAACGCCCGCCGCGTCGTCTGGGCCTCTTAGGAGGTATTTTTGACATACTCGTGTTCCTTCGAACAGCTCTTCTGGACTCTAATCTGTTTAAACCAAAAGCGCGCTAAGTGGTAACCTGGCTCTTGCCCTCTCTTCGAAATCTACCTTCATTTATTTTTGTTTAAAATAAAAAATGGTGTCCCAGGCGTTGAGAAGAGGGGTTGTTTCCTTTTTTCCCCCAGGCTCTGCCGGGAGAAAGAGGGCGGGATCCTTGCAGCTCACACTAGGGAAGATCCGTCGGCCGCCTGCTCGCCTCGACCCCCTGACCGCCCCGGCTCCACCGCGGGACAGACCTGCCTTCCGGCTCCTCGGGTTGTCCCTCAGCGCGGAACTGCGTGGACGAGTTAGACTTGGGGGCCGGGGAGCCTCGATCGTTAACCTCGCAGCGCAACCCCACCTGAGGTTCTCCTCCTGGCCGGGCCGCGGGGGCGAACCAGGCAGCCTATCTGGCAACCCTCGTGCATTTCCGGCCTGTCTCAAACGTGCGAGGGGCTCCCTGGCGCTCGGGGATGCTTGGTACCCACGAAGAAAGGCCGCAAGGAGCCCTCGGCGAACGCTATGCCTCTGCCCAGGGCGGGGCAGCGAGACGGGAGCGCACGGCGCGCTAACGCTGCCCGGGGTGGGGTTTCGCGCTCCACGGGGCCGACTCGCCGAGACCAAGTTGAGCAACCGGCGTGGAGAAAGACCCCGCCCCTGGCTGGGAGGGGGCGGGGGGCTTCTTCTCTCACCGATTGGTGGACGGAGGGAGCCTATCACCGTCGACTGCCTTCGCCAGAGCAGTTTGCTGGTCTCCATTCATTGGTCCCTGGATTTACATCTTTTGTGGCGCGAAAATAACCCTTTGCTCTCTCTCATTGGTTTTGTCGTTGAGGTGTGGGGCTGGATTCCACTCTTCGTGTTCCTGTTTTCCCTGCCCTTTAACTGTGATCCCCCAGCCCCAATCCCCAAGGAGGATGAGGGGAGGTAATGGAGAGTAGAAAGTAATTCTGCGTGTGCGTGTGGAGCCCGCCCCTTGGGCTGACCGCGTGGTGCCCGCAGAGTCCCCTCCCTTCCCCCATCGTCCAGCACCCGGAGGTCCTGGGTTTGCGCCATGCTCAAGCAGCTGGACTCACATCGTTTCCCTGCCCGTTTTAACATCTAAGAGTCTATACGTCTTTTTTAGTTAAAACAACAAAATACGTTTCTAAATGCTTTGAGTTTTCCTGGGCTTCTAGAGAAATCTACTAATTCTACCCCATCCCTTTGTAACCCCTTTTGTGGTCCATACGGTTGTTTTAAACAAAACCAAACAACCCTTCTTAAAAAAGCAAACGAAAAATTCCGGGTAAAATCAACTATTCCGAGACCACGTTTTCGTTGAAGCTGCCCTAAGACAAGACCAAAGAAGCTGAGACCGATCTTAAAGGATTAGCGATTTCTATAGCTGAAATGCTCTAATTTTACTGACGTTTGGTGGAGACAGTGAGAAAAAATAAATATGAATTTGGCTTGGAAAAGCACAAAACAAACGAATAATCATATTTGATTTGATTAACTGAAAAAGCTAGCAGCTACAGTGGTATATTCTAGGCAGTAGTGTCTTTGATGCGTTTGAAATTATATACGTAAGTTTCTGTTGGTGTTCTCAAAAATAATTATCAGAAC